CTCTTTTGTAAAGCAATTACCAAAGAACTCTCTGTTCCAAAGTGTTCCTGTCATTGAGGTCTTGTATGATTCTCGTAAGCAAACAGTGAAAAAGTTGCTCTCCTGTTTGATATCAAATCGATGCAGTGAAGGAGAAAGAGATGCATTTAAGTTTTTGCAACGGTTTGTTAGAGGCATGGACATGCAAAAAACTAGTACGTTTTTCGCGATTTACAATCGCCGGCATGGAATGATCGTGGTTGGCAAGAAGATAGAGGTTGGTTTTTTTTAGTGTGAGGGTGTAGCTTAATCAAGACCTATTGCCTACACTTGTGGACCGCTTCTGGAGATTCCTTCAACATTTGCTAACTACGTAGAATTTAGGGAAGACTTCATGAATATTCTTAACCGGAATAACTGGGAAATGGACATTGTTTAACTTTATTATAACTATTACAAGCGTATGATTATATTACACACTGGTTAATATCAACATAATCAAAAGAGTACTGTCAAAGCTGAGAAGAATAGAATCTAAGCTTTGGCTTTCCTCTTTTGTTTGTGGTTAGCTACAACCAAAAAATTGAGACCATTCCCAGATTAACGTTTATGCAGAGGATCGTTTGTTTTTCTCTTGCGTTCCAAGGTTTTTTTCTTATGACTTGGGGTTGGAGTTATATTTTATTCCTAATACATAAATAAGGCCTTTTACAAGTACTTTTGACCGAGTAGCAGAGGTAAATCATAGAAAATCGTTTAGAAAATGTTTACAGCTCTGCCTTTAGTTCTGATGGTCAACCTTATCTTAGTTCAACCGCTTGTTTTGTACCTTTTGTTGAATTTGTTTCACTGTTGACTTTTCACTCTGATTTCTCTTAAGATTTGTGCTTTGCCAAATGAATTTTGGTGCTGTTATAAATGCGCTACACAAGACAAGACAGAGCAGACGTCATTCCCGTCTGCAAAGCTGAAGAACTCGAGGAAGGGTGGCAGACGTACATTTTAAAATGGCTAATGTTCAAATTAACAGGCCTTAGAGTTCATTTTCCACAAGGTAAACAGTAAACTACCTTTGTTGAGTTGAAGATCTTACATCTGCGCGTTGCATGTTGCACATACAGTGTACAATCATGTACTACATATAGTGTGTTAGATATGTTTTATGTTAGTCATGAAGCTGCTCCTTTTTTAAGAGATCTTTAATAACTGTTTACCCTTAATACTATTAAGCTTGGTGTGTTGTTTACCATTAATAGCCTAGAAATAATAAAAGCTGTTGGAAAGTTTGCAACTATTTCCTTGCAATAACGTGATATCCGAACAGACTATCAAATGTCAATTTTTCTACTCCTTTGATCAACGTCATATAGAGTTCAAGTCCTTCCTTGACATCATGAAGTGGAAGCAGACCAAGTGATCATGAATTCATTACTGTCAAGGCAAACTCTTTACTAAAATCTTCAGTGCATATCGTTGATTTATTCCTCTAGGACCCCTGCTGTTTTCAAACTTGCTTGATGCTGTTAGCTGATTCCACATTTCAGCAACTTGCTGAAGCTCATCTCTTAAGATTTGCGTGAAGCAAAATCGAATACATTCCTGGTGAACAGGATCCGAACCATTTGTTACGGCCCATCGTCGTACTCGTACTCGGGTCATTAAAAGCCCCGCGAGACTGGACCTGTGAGAGTAGAATAAATTATGTAGATAACACGTCACGTGACTTCCTTGCTAGTCGCTCGTAGATTTGTTGTAAGTCGGGTTCCAGGGCAGTACATCAACCTGTTGTAAATCGGTGTGTATTGTAAATCGAGCGGATTAAAGTTGTGTTCAAGCGTTCAAGTTTGTATTCCATCGCTTCCTTAACATGGTCCTTCACAGCCGGATACAAGGTGACATTTGAACAGTAAATTTGTAATTCTTCGCAAGGTCATCACCACGTGGGCGATAAGATGGCCGCCAGTCCAAAGACCGAAAATGATGATTTATCGCAACTTACAGTTGATCAGCTGCGAAAGCTGCTTCAAGAAAAAGGATTACCAACTACTGGAAAAAAGAAGGTCTTGATTGAAAGGTTGGTAGACGATTCAAAGTCAAATGTTGTCAAACCAGAGTCGAAGGAAGAAATGAATCTTGCTGAGTCAGCGGAGTCTTCGAGTGAAGTAGAAATTCAACAGATTAATTCGATCAGACGCAAAGCCAAAGCCTTGCAAATAGATATGGACGGGCTGATTCGGGAAATTTCGGAGCTTAGTCAAAGTACCAGTAACAAAGTGAAAGTAAAGCTGAGAATTGAAAGACTTACCGTGCATAGAGAGAAATATCTTCAGCTGAGAAATGAAATAGTCGCGCTGATCGCGGAGGATATGATAGAAGAAGAACTTCGCAAATGGGGAGACCTTTTACGTGTGGTGGATAAAGCTATCGATGTTGCTCATGAATACCTCCAAAAGGATTCCAAAGTGGAAGATCATCAGTCTTCAAAAGAAAATACACATACTGACAGTCGTCAATCTTCAAGTCTTAAATTGCCCAGGATTGAACTGCCAAAGTTTAATGGGGATGTGTTGAAATTTCAAAACTTCTGGGACCAGTTTGAAGCCGCAGTGCATAACAATGATGACTTACCCAAGGTACAGAAGTTTACTTACCTACGCTCAGTGCTTACTGGTAATGCTTTGCAAACAATAGAAGGATTTGAAGTAACTGGAGCAAATTATCAAGCAGCGGTCCATTGCCTCCAACACAGGTATGGAAGAAAACGTATGATAATCTCATCCCTTGTGAAATCTGTCATCCAGATGGATGCTAAGTCGGCGGTCAGCGCATCCGCCCTTAGAGATCTTTATGACACATTTATGAATAGAACCAGAGCCTTAGAAGCGCTTGGTGAAGATCCAACGAGTCATGGTTGTATTTTGTTACCCATCTTTGAGACCAAGTTGCCACCTCAGTTACTAGAAAAATGGGAGTTGGAGCTTGCAGACACTCAAGAGGATAAAATAGATCTTGAGTTGTTTTTCAAATTTCTGAACCGCCAAGTTGTATCCAAAGAGGCGGGGGAGAGAGGTTGTAATGTGAACAATACCCAAAGCAATCGCAGTTCTGATAAGGGTAGAGATAACAGAAGAAAGCCTTCATTTCCTCGAATGGGTGGTGAGGATGGAGCGTATACAGCCTCTGCATTACTTGGTGAGGCACGCGAGCTAACTGGTCCAAGCTGCAATTTCTGTAAGGCAGGTCACGAGTCGCCAAATTGCCCAGTTTTCAATGACAAGTCACTAGATGACAGGTGGAAGCTAGTTCAAGAGAATAAACTGTGTTTCAATTGTTTAAAGCCCAGCAACCACAAGCACTTTTCCAAGATTTGTCGCCAACCTAAGTGTTCTGTGGCAAATTGTGGCCGCCGTCATCATAAATTGTTACATGGTCAGCAGTTAGTGGCTACACCCCAGCAGCCTTCCAACATCAGTTTAAGTGGGTTAGCGTCAGCTAAACCGGCATTGCCCTTGAAGGAAACACTGCTACAGACAGCGCTGGCGAGGTTAACTGTCAATGGTCAAGAAATGAAAGTCCGTGTTTTGCTAGACTCTGGTAGTCAACGTTCATATGTGCGCAAGAACATTGCAGAGTCCCTTGGCTTGCAAGGTCCCTCAGAGTTATTAAGTGTTACAATGCTCGGTGGAACAACTAGTGAAACCAAGAGATTGCAGAGAGTTAAATTTGCACTTTCGCCAATGAAAGGAGATTCCAAGGTGGAGATGGAGGCCCTTGCTATTCCCAAGATTTGTAACCCCCTCGGGCCAGTGCAGTTAGACTTTCGTAAGAACTCTCATCTTCAAGGTTTAACTCTCGCAGATTCCTACCCTCGCGATTCCGTCCAAGTAGACGTCCTTATTGGTGCAGACTTTTACTACTCGTTCGTAACTGGGTTGTACAAGAAAGGTAGTTCATCTGAGTCACTTGTTGCTGTTGAATCTCATCTCGGGTGGATTCTTACCGGACAAGTAAACCGTTACTCAAGGTATACCACATCCATGCTTACCGTTGTAGAAAACAGTGGACTCACTAAAAGCTTGAAAAGATTCTGGGAACTGGAATCTATTGGCATCGCTGAGACTGAAAACACTGTTGTTTCCCGGGAGGAGGAAGTTGCTGTTGCTGACTTCAATAGAGGATTGAAATTTGACGGAAAGAACTATGAAGTACGACTACCGTGGAAACGTGACCCTCCTAAACTGGAAAGTAACTACATGCAAGCTGTTAGACGTCTGGAAAGCATCGAAAGAAGGTTAAGACATAACCCTGTGAAAGCTAAAGCTTACAATTCTGCAATCAATGAATATGTAGAGAAAGGATTTGCAGAGGTAGTGCCTAACGAGAATGATGAAGATAGAACTGTACGCTACCTGCCGCATCATGCTGTGTTCCGTGATGACAAAACGACGACTAAGTGCAGAATCGTGTTTGATGCTTCCGCGCGAGAAGGAGATGGTGTTTCTCTCAACGATTGTGTCCTTCCCGGTCCTGCTTTACAGCCCAACCTTGCATCTGTACTCATTCGATTTCGAACAAACAGAATTGGTCTCATAGCAGATATTGAAAAGATGTTTCTTCAGGTCAAGCTAGCGCCAGAGGATCGAGACGTTCACCGCTACCTGTGGAGAGATTTACAGTCTAACGAAACACCCAAAGTTTATAGAATGCAAAGACTGACATTTGGTGTGAACTCAAGTCCATTCCTTGCTATTTCGACGGTCCATGCTCATGCAAAAAAATACGCAGAACTGTTCCCAAATGCAGTCCAAGAAATTCTACAAAACATGTATGTGGATGACGTCCTAACAGGAGCCGATACGGTGGACTCGACTGTGAAACTTCAACGAGACATGTCAGAGATCATGTGTAAAGCGGCGTTTAACTTGACAAAGTGGGCAAGTAACTCACAGCTCGTAATGGATGCTATTGCCCCAGCCAAAAGAGCCTCATCGTCACTGGTGGAGTTTGAGTCGAGTGAACCCCTTAAAGCGCTTGGAGTCTCATGGGATTTGACCTCTGACCACTTCCGATTTCTTGCACCGGGTGGAATTGTCTTATCTCCGGATCCAATGACAAAGAGAAGCCTGCTTAGTCTAGCGTCGAAAATATTTGACCCTTTAGGGTTGATATCTCCTTTCACTGTCAGAGCCAAAATCCTCTTCCAAGAACTGTGGTTAAAAGGATTATTGTGGGATGACCCTTTGGACAGTGAAATTAAAGCAAAGTGGCTACATTGGAAGTCAGAGTTGTTGCAACTGAAAGGTGTGACCATACCCCGATGCTTCGGAAATGGCATCACGCAAGAGTCTAAGATAGAGCTACATGGTTTTGGAGATGCCTCTCCTAAAGCGTACGGAGCAGCAGTTTACATCAGAATAGCAGACAAGCAAGGTCATGTATCCTCGCAGCTGGTAATATCAAAGTCCCGAGTTGCACCTATCAAGAAAGTGTCACTACCCAGACTGGAACTTTTAGCTGCAGTTGTAAATGCCAGGTTGTTGAAGTTTGTTGTAGACACTTTGCCTATGGAAGTGACTAGTGTTGTGTGTTGGACTGATAGTATGGTGGCACTGCATTGGGTAAAAGGTCAGAGTTCTCGTTGGAAACCATTCGTGGCGAATCGAGTGGCAGAAATACAGTCCACGTGGGATCCTGAGTGTTGGAGGTACTGTGCTAGTAAGGAGAATCCTGCAGATTTGTTGACGCGTGGGTTGAGCTGTGATGATATGATTGCCAATATCTTATGGTGGAATGGACCTCGGTGGCTGTCTTCGAGTGACAAACCTTTACCCGTTCAGCCCCAAGGTGGTACTGTCTCCTCTGAAGTATGCGAAGAGGAAAGGAAAATTGCTCATGGTTGTACAGCAGTCGTTAGAGAGCCGTTAATTGATATGTCGCGTTACGGGACATGGTTAAAGTTGATTCGAGTAACCGCTTATGTACTGAGAGCAGTCAAGTTGTTCAAGACTAAATGTAAGTCTTCTGAAAGTGAACTGTCGGCAGAAGAAGTGAAGAAGGCAGAGCTTAAGTGTTGTAAGTGGGTACAGGAAGAGGTCTATAAAGAAGATTACCAGTTGCTAAAGTCCGGACAAACTCTTCCCAAGAACAGTCGCCTTCTCAAACTAGACCCGTATTATGACAGAGAGGATCAGGTTATAAGAGTTGGTGGCCGACTGCAGTTTGCTGATCTACTTGAACAGACCAAGCATCAAGTAATATTGCCTCACGGACATCCCGAAGTCGCAAAGATGGTACTAGACCTACACAAGATCATGTTACATGCGGGCCCAGAAGGCATACTGTCAACCTTAAGACAGAAAATTTGGCTGACCAAAGGGAGACGAGAAGTCAAACGTGTTATCAGAAGATGCGTGGCTTGCCAAAAACAGCGAGTTGGACCTTGCGCGCAGAAAATGGGCCCATTGCCGGAAGAGAGAGTTTCATGTTCACCAGCTTTCGCGCATGTTGGAACTGACTTCGCAGGACCTCTCTATGTAAAAGAAGGTTCAACCATACAGAAAGTGTACGTTTGTCTATTCACATGCGCATCATCTCGTATGATTCACTTGGAACTAACACACAGCCTTACCACTGATGAGTTTCTACAAGCCTTTAGTCGCATGACAAGCCGCAGAGGTCTTTGCCATACAGTGTGGTCCGACAACGCAAAAACCTTTAAGGCTGCAAGCAAGGAAATCCAGAAATTGTATGATCCTAGTACTCAAAGTCGAACGGTGTGGGATACATTGGATCGAAATCGAATTAATTCTGAGCTCTCGTCGAAAGGGATTACGTGGAAATTCATCACCGAGCGTTCACCATGGCGAGGCGGATGGTGGGAACGATTTTTCAGAGCAATCAAAGAATCATTGCGTAAAGTGCTTGGAAAGGCACTTCTCACCTTTTCTGAGTTGAACACATTATTAATTCGAATTGAAGGCATCATCAACTCGCGACCATTAACGGCAGTGAGCGACGATTGCAGAGACCCTTTGCCGGTTACACCTGCTCATCTTGCAATTGGTAGACCAATTAACCAGTTACCTGAGAGTAAAGAAGAAAACTTGGAGGAGTCTAGTAAAAGAACTGTCGAAAGGTATCTTTACCTACAGAGACTACTTAACCACTATTGGAAACGTTGGCAACGAGAATATCTGCACCTTCTGTCCGTGAGAAGTAAATGGCAAGAGGAAAACCCCTCCATTCGAGAAGGTGATATCGTATTGGTCTCAGATGATAATGTATCGCGTACCAAGTGGCCAATGGCCAGGGTGGAAAAGGTTCATCCTGGTAAGGACGGACTCGTGCGAACGGCTACCGTGAAAGCACAGAAAGGTGTATTCAACAGGCCTGTTCAACGCTTACACAGATTGGAAATTGATGCAGCGGCCCCACAAGTTACCCGTGAAGCTGATGTTCCTGTTGACGGTGGGGAGAAGCCGCGAGCGAACTCTGTTAATGTTAAAAGTGTACCTATTCGTAAGCCTAAGAAGAGAGTTGTCCTCCCCGAAGGAGGACAAGGTGGGGAGAATGTTACGGCCCATCGTCGTACTCGTACTCGGGTCATTAAAAGCCCCGCGAGACTGGACCTGTGAGAGTAGAATAAATTATGTAGATAACACGTCACGTGACTTCCTTGCTAGTCGCTCGTAGATTTGTTGTAAGTCGGGTTCCAGGGCAGTACATCAACCTGTTGTAAATCGGTGTGTATTGTAAATCGAGCGGATTAAAGTTGTGTTCAAGCGTTCAAGTTTGTATTCCATCGCTTCCTTAACACCATTAAATAGTCCTAAATCTGACGAATCTTTAAAAAACATTGATCCACCAACGAGGACAATCCTTCACCAGCTATGACCAATAAGCCTCAATTCTTTCGTTAGGAGTGGATCTGCTGACCAGCATCCTAGGCCAGCATTTTCATCATCATGGGGCGATCTAAGGAAAGTGTGTAGTGTTTCAACCAAACTGTTTTCGGTTCCATCGACTGACCTGATCTTCCTATTACAAAAAGTGTTTTTATCTTGTAGATATGTTACTCATAACGCACTCAGCATTCCCTGAGTGCAGGATGTTTTGGAACCACTGAACATGCTGAAAGAGAAGATGAGGCTACTATAAAAATGGCTTCACAACTTCCTGAAGAGTCCGTCAGATCCTCTCCGTTGTGACAGCTTATGCAGTCAAAAGATCTCGTAGGTGACCACCTCGGGAACCCATAAAAGTGGTCGCAGGTAGAGCTGGTTGTTCACCAGCTGTTTACGAGAATTTTGCAAAATTATATGCGCTCATGAAGCGACCTTGAATATGATTGAAAGCTTATGTTTATATATTTGAGGGCGCGCCGTCGCTTACATACTAGGGAACTTAAGATAGAGACGTTTTCGGGGCGACGGCGACCGGACTGGCAGAGCAAGCCTGGAACAGAGGCAGCCGTCGCTTTCCTCCAAAATTCGAACATTAAGAAGGACGGCGCCTTGGAAGACTACCGAAGAGGAAAATATGGCGTCACATAAAGAATTAAGAGAATTAATGCTTATTGGCTTGCATGCAACAACAACAACTTTATTTCAGTATTCCCACGTTGGTACGTGGTATTACGTACTATTCTAAACAATTTTCAATACGTTTGATATATACGATACTCTAAAGAAAGAAGTGAGCTAAAAACACACAATTAAAATAGCGGAGTTCACACTATTTGTCTGGATACTTTCATTTGGCTCGTAGGACAATTTTGTCCATGTAAAGCTCACTTACGGTTTGCTGTTTGCCATATTGGATCAGACTGGATCTTGACTCTGTGACATGAAACATAGAAACATTATAAAGATGTAAGTTTAGATAACAGAGGTTGGAAATCGAGCTTGAAATGTGACTCAAACAAGGACAATTTAAGAACGATAATCTGCAAAATTCTGGTTGCTAAACGTAGCAAACCTGATTGAAATGAAAGTTAAATACTCACGTTCTCGCCTCAACGCAAAACAGACCAGTTTCACTTCGCCGACGGGAGCACGACGGCAATGTGGTGAGTAAGAGCATGGGCAATATTGCAAAATTCATGACGTCCCGTCCGGTTGAAGTTGCCGTCGCCCCGAAAACGTCTCCATCTTAAGTTCCCTACTAACTTGAGATCACCCTCCCTTTTCGTGTCGCTTTTATTGTAAAATTCTGGTTTTAGCGCAAGCACGTAAGAGAGAATGTATAGTGTATGAAAGCTCCTAAAATAGAGCATGATCTTTGGATACTTTGAGCAAAAATCTCGACATAATTTATGTTATTATTCATTCAAAATATTTCTCCGTTTCTGATTGGCTAAAATCCCACGCATAATTCATCATAATTCACCATAACTAGCTAATGTCGACCAAATTTGGAAGAATTTTGCGATATGTGAAAAATGACGTCAATTGTGCAGAAAATTACCAAAATATTGAACAGTTAACCAAGAAGACCTGTGGACAAGGTTGAGGTGTTTTGGTAATGAGTACAAAATGCCAGAACATTTTCATTTGTTTTATGGGGAAGAAATAGGCCAAATATTGGCTAAAAACATAGCAAGTACGAGGCGCAGAGCTAGGATAAATACTGAACCAATTTCCTAAACCAGCGCCTTAGGCGTAAGCTTCAGGGAGGTCTGGGTGATTTTAACTCCTTAAAATCCCCTTTCCTGGGTTTCTGAATGATTAAGATAGGATATTGGCGAGTTCCATTCTACTCGAATAAAGCCTTGCAACTTGGAAAGTTTTTTTTTTAATTATTTTTTAATATGAAAAATCGATTTATTATGAAAAATCTGACCGATTTCCATAAAACGGTGGAAACGTGCGTGGATCCGCGCTTGAGAACAGCAAGAAGATAACTCAACGGACGACATCTGCTATTTGGAGAATATTTTGCAGAACTAAACAACCCTTTATTTTCTAAACTTGCTGATAAACTCTATTGAAGATGAACTTAACATCGATGGAGGTAAGCATGTTTTAGCTTGTTTTGAATTTAGGAATAATTATTTTGAATGAATTATAAAACAATTATTGAATTTGGCTTTCGAATTATTTGAAGAATTATGGAGATTTCGGAAGGTGTTATCCGCCTCGGTCTCTCCTCGATCTTTATAATAATATTCTTCAGATAATACGAAAGCGGAATTCAATAATTGTTAATTGTTGCCAGTACCAGATAAGAAAGTATCAGTATTTCCCCCAGTAGGGGATCGCTCTTGGGAATTCTTAGTGGGGATGTGTCTCCTGTTTCTCCAAATCAGGAACTCTTTTCAGACCAAAAAAATGTCATTTTCCACACCCATTTTCAGACATGAAATAACTTAGATTGGAACTCCAACAAGTCCATTTTGAATTCACATATCTTTCTTTCTTTTTCATTTGGAATTGAAATGCCAAATACGTTCATGCATTCCTGTAGTTCCCTTCGAAAACCACATCCGATTCCAGACCAAACTGTTTAAAGCCTATACCCGTTTTCAGACCGAAATGGGGCTAAACCCACACCCTCTGGCTCAGCACAGACCTATATGGCTTATATAAGGGAGTACCACCCCCGGGAGTATTTCATTGAATAAATTTCTTTACGAATCATAGATGTATCTGTACAAACAATACTGCATAATCAAATGGTGACGTCTGAAATTAGGGAATAATTTCACGTGCTTTTTGTCCAGATTCTAAAAATGTAAGACAAATTATGCCGTAACTATTTTCCCGAGGCAGTACCCTTTTATAATTTATTTCTTAGTGGTATGAAATTCATGGTAGCTTGAGAAAACAACTGACATTTCGTGACACCATCACAATAAGTTTCCCTGTCACTGGCCTTTTTTGTAGCTGGTGTTCATTGAGTAAAATACAGATGTAGACCTTACCAAGGTACTATACAACTAATAACTTAATAATTAACGATTTTCAAAATTCTTTAGCTATCAGCTTGGCTATTGGCAGTCCTAATTTTAGTATTGATGGGAGAGTCTTATTGTTTGTTTCATTAGTTTACTTGTATCCTTATGGACGGAATTGAGGCGACAACACTCAGTCCAATATTTCAATACTGTGACCAACTTGCCATGTTAACTTAAAGTAAATTACATACATACAGTCCATGATTATATAATTTATTATTACCATAGTTTGTATTTATGTTATTTGCTTTAAATTAATGTGGCATTAATTAGTCAGAGTATTTTAAAGCAATTAATTTGGTTAGGAAGTCAAAAATTATGTGTAATAATATTAATATTAAATATTGATATTGATGCATCTAATAATAGTAATACGTGTTCATTTTCCCCCTTTTCATTGACTACTTTTATAGGTTAGAGGATGAAATATGTCATCAGAGGCTGCTAACAGTTCAAAGGATTACTATGGAGACCCACCTCAGCTTCTTTATGATGTCCCATCTTCTAGTGGTATTCAGACAACACACAAGAAACCAGAATTACCTATGGATATTCTGTTGCTGACAGTTGAGAATGATGATGAGTTCTTACCTTGTTACCAGCAACTTAAAAATCCATGCAGATGGTGGTTTGATGGCCTTGGTTATGTTTACTTTGAGGAAGAGGATGAAAGTCAAAAAGAGAAAGTGAAAATTGCATTGTTGAAGTGCTATGGTGGAAGTGGTGCTCCCGGTGGTTCTCTGATTTCTGTGAAGAATGCTGTCACTGTGCTAAGACCCAAGGCAGTTATATCTGTAGGAGCCTGCAGTGGTCTTAATCCTGCGAAAACAAAGTTAGGAGATGTCATTGTCTCATCTAGATTATCAACTTATACATCCAAAGTAGTAATGTCTGATCAAGAGCAATCAACTGGCTTGAGAACTTATGCCAGCAAACATTTTCTTAATGTCATAAAGAATTGTGCTGATGGCTGGCAGGCTCCTTTGAAGAATCCCGAAGCAAGTCAAGCAGTTGAAGTACATTGTGGTGAAATTCTGAGTGGTCCAGAGCAGATCCAGGCTGAGTGTCGACGTGATCAACTGGCTAAGTGCAACCTGATGGCAATGGCTGTGGAGATGGAAGGCGAAGGTGTTTGTCAATATTTGTGTCATATTGCAGCAACTTCCTAATATTACTTGATATGCATATGGGTGCACTAGTCTTTAGTGCAATGACTCGTAAAATGTACGAAAAACTCAGGAAACTTTAGTGGGAATGTAATGGTCACACTGAGGTGCTGTCTTCTTGTGACAGTCTCCCTTCCTGTCATTCTCTTTCTTGACTCATTGCTAAAGTAACTAGCCTGAGTTAATTGGTACATAGTGTCTGTTAAGAGCAAAAAACTAGGCCAGTAAGGGCATAGGAGTCATAGGAGGGTGTAGATTGTTCATAATTATTTTCAACACTGTTTCACCATTGTTCACAGTTTTGTCTCAGTTAGGGGACCTTACATTGCTTGTAGTTACTGTAGGACGCTGGGAACCAAGTGATGAGATGTGCTCTTGCAGTGCTCAGTGGGCCCTTGCACCTTACTTTTGTTTCTTGGGGGAGTAGGAAATCTTAGTTTTTTCATTAAAAAATTGTTTCCTAGAAAGGCTGGATTTCACAAGTTTGGAGTTCTGAACTCCCTTCTGTAATTTTAGGGGAGCCCTTTTTCAAGAAAGGGGGTCCAACGAAGGGGGAAGGGAAGCTTTGCCACCATTTTGGAGCATTCTGGGCAACTGAAAAAGTCTGGGGGCTCGAAGTACTGCAGAATCCCGGATGTTTTTCAGGTGAAATAATGACTCAGACGAAGAAGAGAAAGGCAATTGAGACAGTAAGAGGCTATAAAAGTTCAAAGTAAGTTTATAGAGCGGCCGTCAAATCAGTGTTGTTGTCAGTTACGTTTTCGAAGACTTTATCTCAAAAAAAATAGTACTTATCCTTCGGTCTATATTTTTTGCTCCCGCGGCAACGTAAATTTTATGCCGCATTTTTTTCCAAATTGCGGAAATCCCGCAAGGCTGCGCTCTAAAATAAACCTTGACTGCTGTATGTGTCTGTACCGAAAGAGATCACAGGAAACGACCATGCCAGGCACAAATAGTGGGCATTTTATTCAGTACATTCTTCAAAATGGAATTAAGTACAATAATACTTTAGTTGCCTTGACCTGGCACTTGAATACATGTGTAGTTGTGTCTGATAGAAAATGTTCAACTGTTTGTTTGACATTCAAACATCATGTTATGATGTTAGAAAACGTATGACAGACACTTGCATCCGTCAACTGAAGTAAAACTTTCCTCTGTTAAGTCACTTCCCTACATCTGAAAATAGAAGAGTTACATAACTGTGTTTTGGGTTACAGGTGTTTCCACTGCGGCATTTGACAGCGGGATTGAATGGCTGATTGTCAAAGGAATCGCTGATTATGCAGATAGCAGCAATACTCAACAGAATGCAAAAAGTTGGCGTCGCTGTGCTAGTGTGATGGCCGCTTCACTTGTTATGCATATTTTGAGCAATCCCACTGTTTTCCGTTCCTGGCCTCATTATATAGGTGATTTTGACAAAACCATAGTTTTGTTTTGTTTGTTTGTTTCTATTCTGTTGCGTTTTTTTATGTATCTCAACTTAAAAGATGCCGTGAAAGCATCCTGTGCCACCCACGAAACGTAATTCTGAGGATGAGACACAAGTTTCCCTTGTTCAACGACAACTATTTCTTTGATGATTTTTGGCGTAGTTTTTTTGCAGTATTTATCGAAAACGGCACCAACAAAAAAGCTCTGCATGACAGTGTACTTCCCCTCTGCCTTCTATCCTAGCCTTGAATTAATCCCTTTGGTCATCACCATGGCAATCTGTATTAAGGCTGATGTCAACTGTAAGGATAATGATACGATAAGGTGCTCAGACCAAACCTATATTGAAAATAATTTATTGCTTTCTGATCAATGGTATGACAAAAATTCATTTCTCAGAAATGCTCGGCAAAACATAACTGATTAGTTTTTTTTCTTTCTTTCTCTCTTTATCTATTTACAAATTTGCTCCCTGTTGTAGGTACTTTGCCTAATTACCCAACCTAAACCCTAGTATAACACTCCACATCGTAAGAAAATAAGATTTTTTAAGTTGGTTTTTCAAACTAAGTGTGTCCTTTTGTGTGCACGGTGTTTGCAAGACGGTAATTGATCATGAAATTAATTGTACTTTCTTTGCGCCAGAAAGAGTGGCAGGCATAAAACGCAGTGCAGAGTGTGTGGAAGTCGAGGGAAGTGTTAAATCTCTGAAGTCACACGTCGCTGATGTGCAACTCCGATTAACACAAGTGGAAGAAAAACAGAGCTCCGCTGAAGCTCCAATAATTCGAGGTTGGAAAAACTATTGATTAACATTAGTTCGGCCGGAATATTCCTAAAATGATCCTCTCCGTTCATAAGCTTCTTCGAATTTAACCCCCTAACTTTCAAAACAAAAAAGCCTCACACAATTATAATAAGACCTTCGGGGCGGGGGGGAGGGGGGGGGGGGGCGGATAAAACCTGGGGATTGTTTTCAATTTTCAATAAAAAATACAAAAAGAACTGAACGACTTGACCCTTAGATTAAGTTTTTGTTAATATATTTTTCTTAAAATTCTAAAAATACGCCCTACCTCTTCTATTATTTTTCAAAGACTTTTTTAGTAGCTTACATTCAAAAGGGTTAAGACAAAAGAGAAAATTGGGTTTGAAATTAAAAATTAGCGACTAGAAATTCGTGACAACTTTTAAATTCCTACTGAACATGCCAACTTCATCACTTACGCAANCACGAATTTCTAGTCGCTAATTTTTAATTTCAAACCCAATTTTCTCTTTTGTCTTAACCCTTTTGAATGTAAGCTACTAAAAAAGTCTTTGAAAAATAATAGAAGAGGTAGGGCGTATTTTTAGAATTTTATATTCACTTTATTAGTGTTCTAAATACTTGCAAGAACGTCTTCAAATAGACCTTTGCAACACAAGTGATTGTTTGTTTATTTATTTACTTATGTAATTATTTTGCAGAATTTGCCGATTGTGAATCAGACATCAGGTTTTTTGCCGCGCGTTGCCATGAAAATACAAGGCAATGGCTGTTTGAAGATTTTGACAAATGGTTCAGTGATCCTGGTGATTCCAGAGCTTACGTTCTCCTGGGTGATGCTGGTGTTGGCAAAAGTGTTATAGCAGGAACCCTGGCACAGCGTAAAAGGGATTCTGGACGTTTGGCCGCTGCTTATTTTTGCCGTCATAAAGATAGAAGAAGAAATCATCCCTTGAGTCTTCTTGGAACTCTCGCACGTGATCTCTGTAAATGCAGTAGTTGTGAGTACAGTAGCATAGTGGGGGGGGAAGAAGGTGTGAGAAAGTTGATAACTAATTCTGAATTCAATCTTGAAGTTCATGAGTTATTTGCGAAATTGCTAGAAGAGCCTTTAGCTAAGTGCAGGTCTCCTCCGAATCGCAGATTAGTCATCATTGACGCTTTAGATGAGACAGTAAAGATTTTCTTAATGTAATTAAGAAACTCTTTCTCCGCCTACCAGACTGGCTTGTGTTCTTTATCACCAGTCGCCCTGAAGACCAGATAGAGAGGAGATTGAGCAGCTACAAACCATGCATCAAGATGTGCGTAGGAGTTACTGATCAGGGTAACTTCTATCAACAGCACGAGAAAGACATTCAACGATTTTTAGAGAAGGAAATAAATTTCTCCCGTCTCCCCTTCTCGGTTGAAGACGTCACAAAGAAATGTGGTGGACTGTTCTTGTACGCATTCTGCGTTGTAAAAGAGCTACATGATCCGGCACATTTAGGTAAAGTAACGCAGATGAGTCAGCTGAATGATTTTCCAGATGATATCAACGAGTTCTTCATGCAAAATTTCCAGCGAGTATTTGACAAGGTAGGACGCGATCTCTATAGGAAACTCCTGGGCTGTATCATGGCCGCACCGTCTCCGCTTCCTGTATCATTTATCGCCTTCGTTCTCAAAAGAGAGAATTCAGTCTTTGAAAAGTATGATGTCATAAACGCTGTTTCACAGTTTGTTGCTCAGCGAACTTCTGATCGGACAGTCTCCTTCCTTCACAATTTGATCCCTGTGTGGTTATCAGACGAAGGTAAAGCTCGGCTGCTCTTCGTTGATAAAAAGACCGCAGATGAGTACCTCAAAAATATTTTTTTGGACATTCTTTACATTGTTGTAGGTAAACCACCACCAACATTATCATCTGAATGGATTGATGGTGATTTGCAGAACTATATTCTTCGTTTTGCAATTCATTTTTTGTGTCAATGTGGTGACAATGCGTCGCTGGAAGGGGTTTACAAGTTCTTAACGTCTTATATTTTTCTGCAGGAAAGAATTAAATTGGATGGCTTTTCCCTACTCTATGACTTGCGGCTAGCGGCTCACCGTTTTCCTCTTGAGATGACGTTGGAACGAGATGTCATAAACACGCTCGAACACATTATTGACTCGACATCTATAGCTGTTATCTCTTGCTCCCCCTATGTTCTTAAATCAGCTTTAAGTGTCTCAGACATTGTCCGTGAGAATATCTGGTCAGTTCATCAGTGGCAATTGGAGAGGGTTTTTAATAGTTCTCATGATTATTACTACTTTCTAAGAAGTTTTGCCGTCACTTCTGATAAGAAGTTAATTGCAGGTGCACTAAGCCACCCTCCCAGGATCTTCTTTCCTGATGCTGTTACAGGAAAAACAGTCGCCGGCCCTTTCGAAATACCAACTGATGTAGCTGGGCGGGATTTACTTTATAGTTTAATATTTTCTCCAGACGACAAGTTCTTATTTTTTGGACGACTTGACAAATGGTTTTCTGTTGAACAAGGATGTGTTGTAGACCTTCGTCAGTTCTCAGGTAATTCTGTTTGGTATGAAGAACCTGCTTTTACTGGAAAAGGAAAGTACTTTTGTGTATCCACTCGAATTTACAACTTGTGTGATTGCTGGCCCTGTCAAAACAAACAATGTATAACAGATTTGCTTGCTCTGTGGGCTCTGTTGGAAATTGACGACACTGCTGACATGACCTGCACCTTTCCTCAGTTACCAGACACAGTATCTAAAATCAAGATGCCTCTAGGAAAGCCAACTTCGAAGTTGCTTGAGTTTCTTGGAATCGACCCAAAGTTATATGAGGTGCGTGAGGAAACTATTCCCTACGACCCTTCATCTTGTGACTGTTGTTTCAGGTTAACAGAAGTTGCAAAGTCAGACAAAGAACCATCCTTGACCGCTGTTCGTCAACTTGTCCTTGAAGTTTATCCTCGATTATTTGTAGAACAGGTCTGGAATTTTGATTCAGGAAAACCTTTCCTGCAGGACTGGTGGTCACAGGATGAAGAATTCGAAATTGTAACAGACATTCTTTATACTTTACAACAACCACGAGGTGCTCGTCGCTGGTGTGCTGGTTTTCGCAAATCCTGGTCAGTTTCTAACATAGCGGTGATGAATGCTGTTTACGCTTTGATTATGTTTTCCGACTATATAAATTTATAACAAGTGAACGGAACTAAGACCAAGGCGACTAACTTAAACCTTCGAGTGCTCAGGATGTAGTACGGACTGGAGGGATAAAACAAGGAAAATGAAAAAGAGAAACAGTAATAGTATACGCTTTACTATTGCTTTAGTATCAAACTTTTCATTATCTAAATGTTAGGCTTGCAATAGTTAAGGATTTTTTATATGATTTTTACAGCTCAAACCAGTTCAGATTAGCTTGTTATCCTTTTTTCAGTGTTGAATCCCTGAGGAGCAACATGGTTACGTCTTACGATCTGAGTGGCTTTTTTCTACGTATTTGCATACCTTGTACACTGCAGATGATGATGATAATGATGATGATAATAATAATAATAATAATAATAATAATAATATTAATAATAATAATAAAATTTTTTCAAATCTTCCGTTCAGCTTGCTTGATGTAAATATTAAAGCGTGCTTGTACGAGTATTTCTCACCCATAAAATTTGTTTGTAGCTGGTTACCCTGTTACTGTCAAAGAAAACAAGTCAAAAGCAACTAAGCTGATTGCTATGAAAGGTGATATTAAAAAGTCTTGCCGTTGCTAAAGGCAGCACTGCTATGCCCTATTATTAGGGTTTGCTATAATTTAGAAAAAATCAACCTGGTTAATCTGACTGTTAAAACTTTTGGGATCTTAAGAGCAGGTAAATTGGTTCTTGTCTTTTAAGGGAAAGACAAAACACTGTGAAGATGCTCTAGAAATTGTCAGGACAAATTCTGATCAAAGTTCTTGATTTAATCCACCCTGGACTCGTACTCTGTTTCGCCAGTTCTACAGAAGTGTTGATTTTCTTTCGGATACGACTTGTTTTAGAAAAACAAGTACAGTGTTACCCGCCTTACTGCTCCCTCTGTTGAGCTACAATCGCATAATTTAATGAGACCAATATTTGGTTGAGCGAACAACAGATCAGTCATGTCATAATCGTAATGAGGGGTTAGCACTTATCCTAAAGGCTTTTCACCATGGCTAATTTACCTCGTGAACCGTAAGATAAACCATATTTACTGTTTTAGAGTGCAGTAAGAAATGGTCACGAAAATTGTGTTTTTTCTCACTTCTTTAGTAGTCTATATATGCTTCGCATAGAATTTGGTCATCTTCTGAGGTCAAACTAAAAGTTAAGTCATGCATATGACCATACTGAGAAAACGTAGTTGTTAAGGTTGTCATAATTCGTCTGTTGCCGTTAGTTGTTAAAACGGCTGTGTCACGGCAGTCCAGTTCATTTTCTTTTATTTTGCCAATTAATCGCCCTCAATCGCTATGGAACTTAAAGTAGGCAAAGAAATTACATATAAATAACAAAATCAGAGATTAGACACAAACAAGTATGTCCCCTAAGCACTATTTTTGAAGCTGCAAACAGCAGAGATAAACTTTGAAAAACTGTCAGGCTGAACAGTTTCCAAAAACCCTAATTTCAATCCGTTTCAATCTTCTTCCGTTTTGCCCATCCGAGGCAGCTGTTGTATCTGTTGTGTTATTTTAACCTTCCTTTAATGTTTTAAGTGGTTATTTTTATGTTTCTTTTAGTTTAACCGGCATTTTGCAATAACCTGTTTTGGCTGAATTTCGTGACACAGCTCCTTTAAGGAGCAAAACAATATAAGACGACTCGATAACATTGTCAATCATTTAGATTGTATTGTACACTTTATTTGGACTTTAAAATGTTTGGGGCTAGTAATATTGTGATGGGCTGAAAATTTATTCCCTCCATTTGTATTGCTATTCTGATATCTTGTATAACTACGTTTAGTGGCATTTATATGGAAACAAATTTTGAAACAATTAGTTTAGCTATAGTGATAGACTTAATCTGAACATTTTATTGTAATAATTAAATTTTAGGTAAACGTGTCATAATTTAAAATATCCTAACCTAAAAGTATTGTTATTAAATAATTGTCTTCTTCACTTTCTTTATTACTGATTCAAAGGGGACGTGAAAGAACTCACATTGCTATTCGAAAAGATTAATTATGTGCTTAGCCTCCCCGCAGAAGTCCTTTGGGGTTCGCTCGTCACGCATTCAGTTCTACCCCACGGGAGGGGAGAAAATGAATGCGTGACTAACGAACCCCATGGGACGTCTGCGGGGAGGCTATAATGTGGTGGGATGGGACTGTTTTAAGTCCACAATTATTGGCTTCACACTGTGGCGTTTAAAGCTTAATTGTACCGAGAATTTTTTTAACGCGCTTTCTTACTACACAAAATTCTTAATTCAATATTCTTTATTACAGTACTACGGTATTCTAGCCATTTAGTTAAGGCATAGTAAAACGGGCAACAAAAAACGTGTAACTTGTTTTGCTACTTTGCTGTAAAACGAGTTGAATGGCGATGTTGTACTTTTAAACACCCACGGAAAACGCGCTTTCTTAGTACACAAAATTCTTAATTCAGTATTCTCTATTACAGTACTACGGTATTCTAGCCATTTAGTTAAGGCATAGTAAAACGGGCAACAAAAAACGTGTAACTTGTTTTTCTACTTTGCTGCAAAACGAGTTGAATAGCAATGTTGTATGTTTAAACACCCACGGAAAACGCGCTTTCTTAGTACACAAAATTCTTAATTCAGTATTCTTTAGTTAATGCACTTAACCCATAACCCCTTAGATAAAGCAAGTAACTAGACCAGAATTATTATGGGGAAAAAAGGGGTAAGGGATGAAGTACTCCAAATATGGACAGCAGGTCACTTTTCTCTACATATTGGTGTAACAGTCCGAAATCTACAAGGGGAGAGGTGATAATCCTCTCTAGGGAGTGATAATCCCCCAGGATAGTGAGAGGTGATAATCCTCTCTTGGGGGTGATAATCCTTCAGGATAGTGAGAAGCTAGGTGATAATCCTCTCTAGGGGTTGATAATCCC